TCCTGCTGATATCACTACATTATCTGCCCAAAAGGTAGTAATCTTCTACACCTGGGTGACAAGTTTTGCTATTAAAAAAACCTTGCTCAAACATGTATTCTTTTCACTTGTTTAGCTAACAGCAATGCCAATCAGTTCTACCAATTTTGCATGTGCTACATGAGCACATTTAAAATTTCATCTTCTACCATATATCGTTTTCTAAGAGTTTCAGCTTGACTAGCCAACTCTAGAAGACAATGAGACAGACTATTTGAATGAGCCTTTTGAGCTAACAAAAGGTAACAAAAGAGCTTCTCATGCTATATGGTTTTAGTTAAGCAGGTAGCTTTCCCACCACAAATTTACCAGCCAGCTACACTTCAAAAGCAAAATCGAACCGCAATTTTAATAGTACTTGCAGTTCGCAAAATCCATTACAAGATGTACTCATCTGTAACACCAAGTATATCACTAAAGCAAGTTTTATTTATAAAAAAATAATCAATAACATTAATAGTTAATATGCAGCTGTACAGAAAGTATCATCTTATTTACATAGAGACGCTTTTTTGTTAAGCAGTACACTATGTTGGGTGGCAAACTGATCTTACTGTAATTAGGAGGGTGCAGTTCCTTAACAGTGAAGTCATACAGGTATACATATCTCTCATCAGGATAGTTTATTCCCTTTCACATATGAAATACTTATAAATGTATTTGATAGTAGAGACTGCTTTCGTACAGGAAAACAGGAAAAAACGTAGCCACGCTTCAAGTGGGGAAGATTGCCCAGTTTAACAATACTAACGTGGTCAAAGGTGCGTAACTTGGGTCCAGAGATGCGCTAATAATCAAAGCATTTAGAGCATTTTAACTAGGAATGCTAACCATGGGAACAATTGGTAATTAAAGAATACTGCATTTACAGCAGTGGTTTTAGGTATTTACAAGATCGTGATAGCACACAGGGAGCCAGTGACATGCTTCATTTTAATCCCCTCAAGTTTTCTCTCTAATACAACAAAGACAGTAAAAGATTGTCTTTCACGTTCTCTTTTTGATCTCTGTTTTGCTTGCTGCAAATCGTGAGCATGTTTACAGACTCTCAGGCTCTGGAGCCTTTACGCTCGCCAAACACGCGGTCAGAACGAACAGCTGTGTGATTAGAGCTACTTCGAGAACTTCTCAACTGGACGAGGAAGTTTTTCTTAGGTCTTCATTTCAGGCACATTCTTACTGGCCAGGAATTCCCCGTCAGGAGCAAGGTCGCCTTGCCGCCCCCCCCCCTCCCCGGCCCCAG